GCCCATCTACCGTATATGACACAATATAGCACACCCCCTGGACCGATTTTCAAATCCCGATTTCTCAACAGCAGATAGAGCCACAGCGCTGAAAACGGTGGCGTTGAGGCTGACTCGTCGAGAGCTTTCCGAAAACGTAATGTTTCATTTATGCATCCTCTTCGTCGTGGCGTAATCGAGCTTTGAAAATNGCCTTAGTTTGTTCGACGACGCGTCCCTCGAGGGGACGGAGCATTGGACCGATCACCGATGGCCAATCGTTCCTTCCCGCTTGCCAAAGGTGGCTCAACAACAGTTTCCCTAGCCCATCTACCGTATATGACACAATATAGCACACCCCCTGGACCGATTTTCAAATCCCGATTTCTCAACAGCAGATAGAGCCACAGCGCTGAAAACGGTGGCGTTGAGGCTGACTCGTCGAGAGCTTTCCGAAAACGTAATGTTTCATTTATGCATCCTCTTCGTCGTGGCGTAATCGAGCTTTGAAAATCGGTCGAGGGGGTGTGTTGTCTTGTGTCATATACGGTATCCTATCGATATCAAGGATGGGGCTTCGTCAGGTGTGGAGTAGGCGTTCGCGTCGCCAGAGCCACAGAACGGCGTCGTTCTCTTGCACACAGACTAGTTGCCGCGGATTACTACTTGGTACAATGATGGTTTCGACAACGTGTCTTGGCATAAAATTTTGTTGTCGTTTGTGCCAGCGCACATGAGGCTACCCATAGGTCCTTTTAAAGTAGGAACCGTTCAGCTTTGGATGGAACAAGGGGCGGCGGCGGGGGGTGCTGCGGCGCCCGTGACCATCATGACCCATGATCGTCATGTATCGCCACAGACCTTCCGACCTTCCCACCCTTCCAATTGTGTGAACTTCATCTCGACTGTTCTTGCCTCCGTACCCCCCCCATCCCTTCCCCACGCCCCGACAAATGCGGCTTACATGGACAGGTCAATCCACACGTATATGCGATTTCAACCACGAAAAGCAAGCGGTCGGGCAGAGGACCGCCCGCCGCCCAAGCGCGGCCAAGAAAGGCGTTGGGAAAAAGACGAGGAAAAACACACCGCCGCCAACACATGAAATGAGTACCTCTTGAAACCCTGGTAGATTTCTACGAGGCAGCGCCCCTGTTCGGCGTCGTTGTTGAGCATCTTGTGGTACTCCGCCAGGGTGAAGAGCCAGTCCGCGCGTTCCTTCGGCAGCTCCGTGCTGTTAACATCAACGTCAAACGTTAACCATTAGCGTAAAATATTAATATTAAAACATGAACGAAAATGTCAGAAAGTTAACATTAACGTCACCGCTGACACGTTAACATCAACGTTGATGTTAATATTTACAAAAATAACGTTCATTAACATTCATATTAACAAACAAGAGAAAAATAGGCACCAGTACAGGCGAAAATAACAAGAAAACTTGTGTCAAAGGGACACAAAAAGCCAAAGGAGGCATGTGTTACTATTTATTGCGAGGAGTATAAAAGTAATTCCTCATCTTTCGTTCTAAATTTTATGCATAGAGAGGACATGTCGACCGAGACCGAGAAAGCGACTTGGACGTTGCGAAAACGAAGATAAAAGAGCGGGCAAGGTGCGTTGGCTTGGCAGCGAGCTGCGTCAAGCAAAACGAGAGTTGGCCATACCGCACAGCACAACCGTGCACGGAGGTTTCTTCGAGGGGTGAAAAGTCCAACGGCATCAAAACTCATAAAGAACAAACCCCACTGAGGCAGGCCTAAGCGAGCGCGGAGAATGTAGTCTCGGTCTCTGGTGGGAGAATACAGTCTGACGCGCACCTTCTGGCGAGAGGCACACTTTGCTATTGCATTTTCTGCCACGCCCAAAGCCCCGTGGTACAACAACAGCTCAACTACATGGTCTCAAGACGTCGGTTGCCCTCGCTGATATGCCCCTCCCCGACTGCAATATCCCTGTGCGGCGCGCTGCAACAAAAGCAAACAGACACATATACACACGCACCTGTCGTCGAAGCTGACGGCCCTGGTGTTAATATTCTCCCCCGACTAAACGAAAAAATTGCACTGCAAAACACGCACACTGTTGAAGACGCTGGCGACGTTTGTGTGACCCTCTCTGTTATCACCCTATGCACAGCACCGCGAAAAAGCACCAAACACACAAACACACCAACCCCCAAACGAGCTAGAGTGCAAGGTAGCAGCCTTCGTAGCCGTGTGCAGTTATCTTCTGTTGCAACCGTTTCTGCCTTTGATCCGGAGAATATATGAATCCCCCCCATGCCGTCCCCTCACGGGGTCCCATTCAATGGCATTTAGAGGAGATTTGTGTGTTCAACCGCACGAAGACTGACGTCAGTCGATGAGCGCGGTCGATGCTAATAATTGAAAAAACACACCCACACCTGTTGAAGACACTGGCGGCCTGCATGAATATCTCCTGCACACTCTCCGTGTCCAGGTCCGTCACCCCAAGGCCCAGCCAGTACTTCGACGCGTACCCGTCCAGTCCCATGTGCGTGGTCCCATCGGACGACGCCACCTTTCGGAGGTACCGCAGCTTGATTAGGTATGCGCGCTTCACCTGTCATTGGGAAGGGGGGGGGGACGCAGACAATTCCCACGAACGTGGGTAGAGAAACAAGCATGTGGTCTTGAGTATGTTTTCTTCGTGGATCTGTTGGGGGAGGGGGCGGCAGCGGGACCCCCCCCCGACTC